ATGAGGGTCAGCTAACTGGCCAGGGATGGAACTCTGGCTGCAGTGGCTGTAAACAGCTTGATAGTGCTGAGACTTTAACTGAGCCACCAGGGAGGTCCCCATTCTTTTAGTATCTTGCTGTAAAAAGCAGAGTTAGGTTTTCTCTGTTTCTGCATTTAATTTGTTACCACATATTACTTTGATTCAAGTATATTGAGAATCGGCTTTGCAATAGGAAGTCCTTGTAGACCCACTGAAAGGAACCTCTAGGGGATTCTTGGACCATACTTTGAGGATCTCTGCCCTACACAATCTTTTTCTCACCCTTTGAGTTAGTAAAGGCAGACTCATAGGCTCAAAGGTAACAGGAAAGGTACTCACCATTGTAGTCAACTAGGTATTAAATGGTACTGGTATTGTAATACTTCAAGTCTGACTTTAAACCCAATGCTCTTTCTTCAAAACCTCAACACACAACTTTTAATATATTTGTCAACTGCAGATTTTGCAAATATGCTGAATTAAATGGGAGGGAGGGTGTAAATTTTCCAAGTTTATAAAATGAAAACAAATCCAGATATGCTTTAAAAAACACACTTATAATAGGTTCATGAAACTGGTTTATATAATAGGCCTTTGGTATTTTCAAGTAACAATCAGATTTTACCTCAGTGCAAAGAGCCAATCCATCATAAAGTCAGTAAGAAGACTTTCTAATATAAACTGCTTTGCAAATTATTACCTAGCCTTTTTATGTACCTTTTGTTCATCAATTCTATTTTCATTGGTATGTGAAACAGCCAGTCTTCTATGCATAAAAATCTTAAAAGTTTGAGAACTTTTGGTGGAAATGTTAAGATGTAGGAGAGGTTGCAGAAAAACAGTATAATTTTATCATAATAATTTATAGTAAAATACCTACTAGAGCCAATATATAAGCGTATTCCATCTTAAAACCCCTTATCTATTATCAAAGTTGTATTTTATTTATATCATAATAAATAGGGCTAGTACTGATACATAAGACAGACTACAAAAACCCTGTTTACTTACTAAATCAAAGTAACTGTGGATTAGCTCAAATTAAGTCAGGAAAACAATTTTGTGTTTACATTTAACTCAGTGTTAGGTTGATATTCAACATCTTTGTTTTATTTAAAAAAATCTATTACACACAGTTCTCAGACCTATAGTTGACAGAATGATGTCCTAGAATATGGTTTTTTTCTTCTCTCAGTCTGTAAGAATTCTTAATAAAAAGAAACAAGAGTAAGACACTGGTTACTGTGGAACATCTTATATATTTTCTCCACAGTTCCCAGCACTGTAACTTTATTATTAATTATCATTAAGAGTAGGAGACAGGAAAGTTGGCAGAGGAATGTGTACAGCTTTTTTGGGACACTTACTCATGGCTATAAATACAAACAGAAATACTCAAAGTGCCACGAGACAAAACACTTTTATACAATGATTTAAATTTTTTAATGATACTTTCATATGATTGTGGTATTACCTAGAAATGCACAAGTCATTTATTCTGAGGGGGGTCATTACTGACTATAGTGTAAAGCTTCTTATATAGAGTTGTACTGATAGCTGAGTCCTACTCCAAACTAATCCAAATAGAATTAATAGTTGAAGGTGAGTGTTTAAAAATCCCTCAGGAGATTCCAATATGAAGCCTCAGCCATGAAACACCTGCATGAGGAGAACACAAAACATTTCACACACTAAAATTATAGAAAAAAGAAGCAATGTTACAAATCTAATGAACAAAAACCAACAACTATAATTTTAATTGTAACCTAAATTTAAAATTAGCCACATGAAGAAACAGAAGTGCTCCCAAACTAAAGGCAGAGGAGGAACACAACATTTCAGACTTCTGTTTAGAAAGTATTTAGAAGTAGACGTATTTATTCTTACACTACATTACACCTGTTCTCATAATATCTAAAAATGATATGGAAAAAGCCAAATCTATAAATACTAAAAGGTAAAATCTGCAATAATTCTAGGCATCTGCTTATGAAAATCACTGAGAATGTTAAGAGGTTAACAAGGAGATGTGGTAGATGATACAGGAAGAGCAGTTATGTTCTAAAAACCCTTAACGGAACAGGTAAACGTTAGGTTGTGGCCCCCTGCTTATTGGCAGTCAGCCTACTACATCTCTAACCTCCATCTAAACAAGTGGGATGCCTGGTAAAAGTCACAGAAAGGCAAACAACATTAGCCCCAGTGAATATATATTGCTAGTGGGTCTTAAAAAAATGTCAGAACCTTGTGAAGAAGTGTTCCTAGTCCACTAAAAAATTATATTTCTGAAAGAAAAAATATTGTTATTTCTCAAAGGTCAGGAGAAAGACACAGACTACAATACAGACAGGAATGATTATTAGTGAACAGGTGAACCAATACTTCCTGGGCCACAGAATGCTCCACAAACAGGGGCTGATAAAACCTTTTGCTAACAGTGCCTAGAATTTTTCAAAACGAAAAAAAAACTGCATGATTGATTTGTAACTAAGGAAGAAGAGAATTAGGGTGCTCCCAGGTGGCACAAGGGGTTGTCTCAGCATTATGAAGCTATCCTCAGCCATTGAAACATGAATTTGATCCCTGGCCAGGGAGCTGACCCACATGGCACAGCAGATCTTTGCTGTCTCTGACAGCCCATTGTCCCCTCAGCAGTGTATTTCAGTAGATCCCCCTATTCTGCTCCCCATTCTTGTCTGGTGAATTCTCTCATTCCCCTCCCCCCACCCCACACATCTCTAGCCTATACCACAGCTTTTGTATGCATAAATAAATCTTTTCTTTAAAAAAGGTGAATTTAAAAAAATTTGTAAATGGTTAATTCTATAAACACTTTTTCATATATGATTTAAAGAAAAAAATTCCTTCTAGTGAAAAGAATGCAAAAGTGTAAATAGATCTGATCAATAATTTTGAAACTGATGTTTGCTTCACTTTTCCTCTTCTTCCACTCCAAACAAATTCAAGAAGCAACCTTTCATATTCCAAAAGGTATATGTTCTAGTCATAAGCAATAGTTACTATCTATTGAGTAAATACTATATGCAAGGCCTGATGTCAAGTGCTTTATGTATATTCTCTTTTATCCCTCACTATGTTTTTATTTTATAGATGAGGAAAAACTTAGGCTTAGAACACTCAACTGGGATATAACATAAAGAGGAACTCAAAATTCTAGGTCTAACTCCATCACTTGTGTTGCTGGTAACTATAAACCAGAGCAGTATTCGTCTTAGTATTCTCATAAAAGAATGAAGTTCATGTTACTTTGAATAAATAAGCAGAAAGGGGGCACAGGAAGTGGTGAAGCACTTCACAATTTATCAAGATAAGAGCACCTGCAATACTTTTTTAACACAAGAGAAAAAAGCCTGTAATAATATAAAACCTCAACTCTTTCTGGTCGTTATTACTAAAATATTAGGACAGATTTTTTTCAACAAGATGGTCCAGCATCACCTTACAGACCATAGTAAATAAATCACTTTGGTTCTGTGGCAGGAGGGCATTACTCAACACTTCCCGGCATAGCCCTTGCAGGATATTTTACAGCCAAGGCTCTTGGGCCCCTCCTCCATAGCCAGACAGCTTGGCTCCTTTGCATGCCCCTCAGGAGATAGGGTGGAAACACACAGCTCCACTTTCTAAGGCATAGAGGGCAGCTGAAAGTCCTGCTCGGCCTCTTTGGGCAACCACAGGCACCAATAAATCAGCCACAGACAATTCTCTCATCCCCTTCCTGACTGCAAGTGGTATAGCAAGATATAATGCAGAAGAGCACAGACTGGACTTGGGAGATAAATATCTAGGCTCAAATTCCACTGCAAATGACTGCACCTCAGCCAGGTAAATCTCTGAGACCAGTTTCTTCATTTGTAACATGGAGACAATTCTAATTTCCTTTTGGCAAGAATTAGAACTTCATCTACAAAAAGCAGTTAGTCTATAGGTACATAACAAGCAGCAACCAAACCTCAGTAGAATCCATCTCCACTACATCCAATTAATATGATCAGTCAGGGCCAAAAGACACAGCAAATCACGAGTTTCCTTCCTACTTATTGATCATCCCTGTAATGTTCCAGAGTCTGCTGTGACAGAACTAATCTACACGATGTCCTGTGCCATCGGTGTTCTGTTGCCTATTTAGGAGTTGATGTCTCATAATGGATTAATAGCTCACTCTTAATTAAAACATCCAGATTGCTAAGGACTTTGATGCCTTAACTTAAGGAAGCAACCAATGTTGCAAATGAGTTGTTCCTGCAGAAAACAGGGCTGAATTTTTGTGGTGACAGAGCTCCAAGTTTATCAAGGGGTATCTATTCCACTCATTACTTAAAATACCAGAGGCATCACACTGGCCAAGACTGCCTTCCTAAAAGATGAAAATAATCTTTCGTGGATAGTCTCTACAGAGAATAGGTCAAACTAGCCCGGTAGTCCTGGAGTGTTGGGACTCAAACAGAACAACAAGGCACCTGGAACCTGGCAACGAATTTCTCAAAACGTGTATGTAGGATCCTCATCAAGCCACACTCTTTAGGCCTGGTGTCTTCATCTGTGAAATGAGAAATGAACTGGGTTTTCCATAAAGCCCCCTTTTATCTTTAAAATCTGATTCCCACGTGCATTTTACACACTTGACAAAATCTTGGGTGAATCGACAGCTTTGCCAAGAGAATGATGCCAAATTTAATCTTTTGGAGGGAAACAGGCGTTAATTTATAACACAAGTTGGCCCTGTCGCGTTCCAGGTACACCATTCCTCAGTTTCTCCAAATAAAGATTGCTAGAGGAAGACAGTGAAAGACGAAGCAAGTTTTAAAGAGCTAAACGGGATTTGCTTTAGATGAGATTAATATAATATGGAAAATAAATGAATGAATGAGGTGGGGGCGATTAGCCTTGAAAGCGGGAAATCAGAAAATGGGATGAAGAGAGGGGAGACAGTAGCCAAAGCACCTTGCAGTCCGCACCTGGAGACCCGCCCAGTTACTAGAGGTGTGCCGGGGAAGGCCGAAGGCCCGCTGCGAGGGCTTCTAGCTTTTTCTTGTGCCCCCGCACGCCGTCTCGGCCTGCGTCAGGCTCGGCAGCCGCCTCGTGCGGGCAGCGCAGGGCGGCTTTGGGGCTCCTCGGCCCTGCGCTCATTCAGGGTTGCCATTTTCCTCCACTGCCCTGATTGACATCTCAAACGTACCAAAAACACCCTCTCCCCAGCTACTAGCACCTACTCCGCGACCGCCTCAGCTGCAGGCCGCCGCCCCGGGCGGCTCGCGGCGGGAGGGAC